GGTAAGATAATGCCACCTACTTTTGGCTTCGTCTGCAAAATATTTTAATAATCTAGTATATGGAAATCGCTTTAGGCTTTGTTGAAGTCCTTCATGCGCCCGCGTCCCTTGAGTACTTGTGTTCAATTATGGGGGTCGGTAAGAGAAGAGTGGTTTATTTTTATAATCCTGACGCCGGCAATTTCCACTATGGGCCTAATCATCCGATGAAACCTCATCGGATCACACTGGCTCATACACTTGTGCTTGGGTACGGTCTCACACAACACATGCAGGTTAACATGATCTGTGATTTATTCGCTCCCCCATAGATTTATAGGGCTCCAAAGGCTAGCATGAAGGATATGATGACGTTTCATACGTTGGAATATTTAGAGTTCCTTCGCGATGTTAAACCATCGAATGTGAACGAGTTTCCTAAGGAAAAATTGCTGGGTTACAATGTTGGGGAGGATTGGTTTGTCATATTCACTTCTATTTATTGTAGTCCCATTTTCGAGGGAATCTATAATTTTTGCTCTCTTTACACTGGGGCCTCTTTAATGGGTGCAAGGTTTCTAAATGATGGGGTAATGTTTGACTTTGTTTGACTTTTCCTTTAGTTTACAGACATCGCTATCAATTGGGCTGGTGGTCTTCATCATGCCAAAAAGTTTGAAGCATCCGGTTTTTGCTATGTCAATGACATCGTCATTGCCATTCTCCAATTGTTGAAGCAGGAAATGTTAATTTTATCTTAAAGATATCACCTCACTTTTAGGTATCACCCTCGTGTCCTTTACATTGACATTGACGTACACCATGGTGACGGAGTTCAGGAGGCCTTTTACTTAACGGATCGAGTTATGACAGTTTCATTTCATCGATTTGGAAATTTCTTCTTCCCGGGTACAGGTAGGCTTCGTATTTCGTGTACTTTGTTACTGCGGCAAAAATAACGCCATACATAAGATTAGCCACACATGATTCCTATTTCTTTATCATAGTACAATGGTTGCTTTTGCGTTGAAAACCTTTGTATTGTTCCACCAGGCGACATGTATGAGGTGGGTGCCGAATCCGGCAAATACTACTCGGTGAACGTGCCCCTCAAGGAGGGGATTGATGACGAGATGTACTTCGGCATCTTTAAGTCAGTGATCACGGAAGTGGTGCAGTTCTACCGTCCTACAGCCATTGTACTGCAATGTGGTGCCGATTCGCTGGGTTGCGATCGACTTGGCGTCTTCAACCTCTCCATTCGCGGTCATGGACGCTGCGTGCGGTGTGTACGCGCACTTGGCATACCAACACTCGTTGTAGGTGGTGGAGGCTACACAGTGCGCAACGTGGCACGTTGTTGGGCTTACGAGACTGCAGTGCTTCTAGATCGCGAAGAGGACATCTCCAATGAATTGCCCTACTCGGAATATATTGAATACTTTGCTCCGGATTATACTCTGCATCCTGACTTGAATACGAAGATGGAGAATGCGAATACAAAGTCGGTATGTGCCCAAGCGTTTGATAATTTTTATTACAATTGATGATGAATTGCCTCTAGAGATGCAAAATTCATTAAACGGTCCTCGAACACTTAAAAGTATCAGGAGCGTCTCTGACATCCCCAATTACTTAGGCTTTAAGGACTGCCCTTGCACTTTGACGGGTTTCACTGTTTCAAGATCCACCATGCAAAGTCATCTCTTCCACTATCCGTTTGCAGAACAGAATGAGAGCATTAACGCGTCGCTGCTTGTAATCTCTCGTACCCTTTGACTATCCAAAGATGTCGTCCCATTATAAAATTGTTTAAGCTATTTAAAACTTTTGCCTCGGGACTTTATTGGGATCCTCTTTTACCAATAAGCAATTTTTAGATAAAAAAAACAAGTCATTATGAGAGCAGTCATTAATAGTGCGGAGTTGTGGTTCGAAAAATTGAGGAAACATTTTCACCGATAAATGGGATCACTCATTTCACGTTTAGCATGATCAAGGTATTAACCTTGATCCCATCACTAAGTAGGAAAGTGTCATCATTCAGCAAACACCTGTAAGTTGTTTTCTCAAATTGTCTTCGAGATGTCAAAATGATTGATTCTTTGACTATCTTTTGCCGAAATGAAAGGATGTCTCTATGCCCACTAAGTGCCAAGAATATTGACCGGTTTGCTGTAACAATGAATATCAAATTACAGCTTGATTATTTTTGATTCTCTTTGTCAACTCAGCATTTTGCCTGTGTCAGGCCAAAATGAGAAGTCTGCTGTTCTGGTTGGGTCAATTCAAATGAAAAAAACAGGTTACCGGACTGGTGTCTAAACGCTTTTAGCTCAGACAAACCCTTCATTTTTTCCCTAATCTGCATTTTTGCCTACTTTTTCCTGTTTGAATGAGTGACGTCTCACTTTGAACCCGGAGGTATTTTCCTGTTGCCTTACGATTTTCAACAGACTTATTTTGATGGAAGGCGAATGTATTACCACATGGAATTCAATTTAGATTGGAAAGATTCTCAAGACAGTGTATCTTTTACCACAAGGCTTATCTTTTCAACCCCCGCCGGTTCATGAAATCAAAACTGTAAAGCCACGTAAAAATGGCGAATAATAAATTTTCTGTCAATATTGCGGGCACCACCTCATACCCAAAACGTTATATTTTGGTGCAAAAGTCTGACTTTTAGCCTTATGAGAAAAT